AACCACATGGGCTTTCACTTTACAAATCTTCTCTGTGTCTTAATTACTAAAAGTATCATCACAATGTTTAACACCACAAGATGCTGACTCAGGCTGCAGGGTTTTTCCCTTTTGGCTGGGTTACTTACCATTACCAGTTTCTCCAATCCAGTGTGCCACGTGGAAACACAAACAGCTGGACCAGCACAAGTGAGGAGGAAAAAGAGGTGGAGGAGAACAGGCAGCATTTTAATTCAGCATTGCCAAAGCCTTCCCCATTGTGAAATGAGTCTTGCCAACTGCTGGCAACGCAGCCAAAATACTTTAAGTACTTCATGTTGCACAAGCTTCCCTTAAGGATGTGTGGAAGAAAACCTTTTTCCCAGGACACAGTTGTTTTGTTTTTTTTTTTCCTTCCCAAAGCTAGGGAAATGTAGAAACCAGAGCCCTGTACTTACCCCACTGTAGTCCAAATTGCTGATTTCTCCCCGAAACAACTGATTAAATAATAAATGGAGAGAATCCTCTTTGCTCTAGCAGCAATGTCATCAAGTCTTCAGTGAAAAGAGGATCGGGTCAAGTAGGTAGGTCTCAGTCCAGTGCACCAAGCTTACTGTGGTTACTCAAAGTTGTTCCTACACCACATTTAACTCACTGGTTAACAGAGGCTTGAAGGTTCCGTGACCACCGAGGATATGGCCATGGTAATGTAGATGTTCCAAGCATCACAAAAAAATAGCAGCTGATGAAATGAAACAGTACACAAAAAGCAAGCTGTTCTCTGCTCCAAAAAACCTTAACTTTCACAGAATCCCAGAATCATTCAGGTTGGAAAAGCCCCTCGGGATCATCGAGTCCAACCCTCAGCCCGACTCTACAAAGTTCTCCCCTACTCCACATCCCCCACAGCTCATCCCAACGGCCCTGAAACCCCCCCAGGGATGGGGACTCCCCCCTCCCTGGGCAGCCTGTTCCACACTCTAGCCCCTCTTTCTGGGAAACATTTTCTCCTCCTGCCCAGCCTGACCCTCCCCTGTGGTAGTTTAAAGCCGTTCCCTCTTGTTCTGTCACTAACTTTGAAACAACCCTTATAACTGCCAGAAAGCTTTTCACAAGAAAATTTTTATTTTGTAACGTCAGGGAGTTACAAGCCAAAAGAAAATGGCTAAGCCAAGAAATATCCTGTGGAAATGCTGCACTTTGGGATATCTCGGCAATTTATTTCATGCCAGGGAAGAGACACCAGGAAGGAAATTTCCCGTATCTCTTGTACTTTTGAACTAGCCAAGAGGATGAGAGCCGTTTTTTCTCCACACAGCCATCACAGGCTACACCCTTTCAACCCCAAAACCGTTAATTACCCTGTATGGTACCAATTCCAACTGGGATGTGCCCAGCACAGCCAGTACAGGGCAAACTCTGCATCTTCCCAACGTGCATCTCCTGGTCATGACTGTCCACCTCCTTGCAGAAGGCTCTCCTCCTCCCACACATACTCCTCGTGTGAAGATGTACATCCCGGACGTACCTGCTGAGCTCAGACTATGGGAATCGTTACAAAAATTAAGCCATCCCGGTAGGTGAAGCACGACAAAATAGGTGCTAGAAACTCCTGGAGCTGTGGAGATGGCCTCTGGCAAGCTCCAAGGCTAGGGGCTGTAATTATGCCTACTCTAAATCAGCATGAATGATCCAATCCATTAACTTTTGCTTTACACTTTGGCAAGTAATGAATCAGCTGTTAGCTACTCAGATTAAGTACTCAAAAATTACACAGTCGGGGTGCAGCAGTCACACACACACCCCACACCCCCCCCCAAGCAAATACACAACGTATTCTGTATTTTTCATGCTATAGTTTGAAGGGAATATTGTTTATGAACCAAGTGGATCCTCTATATACAATAACAGTTCCTGTAAACTGTTAGAAACCCAACAAGCTGTAACCAACCTGATTTTAGTAACTACACCCGGTGTCTTTAAGACTGATACAACACGCATTTTACCACGATGAGTCAAACAGTCTGTTTAATGCACATTTTGTCTTACAGCATCCCGCATCTGCAGAGCTACAGCCCTCCCCGCACACTGCACAGCCACATAAAAGCCTTCAGCATTTACACGGAGCGTCTTACCTGCACAGCCACGACCCACGATGCTTAAAACTTGGCTAAAAGGCAAATGGCAGTGCAAAGAAGAAAGAGATTCAACTCATTTTGTCTAAACAAGCATGGAAGTACATTTTCCCTAAAAAGCAGCAGGAGCAAATACTGAATTTACAAGACCAAGCTGGCAAGTTCCCGCAGGAATTCAACAGCAACTTTGTGTATTTTTTTTCCCCTGATTATTTTATCCCAAGCAAAAGTTTGGCTGACTAGATTAGCAACCAAAAACTGTCTTAAACCCCCTAATATTTATATGATAGGTTTTCTTCTCTTCTGTGTAGTGGCCAGGTTGTCTGCCAGTACTTTAGATACTGAGGGAGCAGATTTTGAGCTTTAAGAGTAAACCCTCCATTAGCTCGACCTGCAGCATCAGATAAAGCAATCTAAAGCCACCAGCAATGCTCTTGCAACAGAACATCAAAGGCTCATCTCTGCCTCTGAAAGACAAATACCACAGGCTTGTCTTGACATTTACACAGCAGGAGAAACCATGAGCAACCCAACACAGTCCAGCATCCTTAAGTTACATTTAATGCAGAATAGTTGTTCCTCATTGTTTTCCTTCACTGCTTGGGGGGAAAAAACTGGCAGCATGGAAGAGAGCCCTACAATGGCACTAAACAAAAACACTGCTTTTCAAAAAGAAAGGCCAATGGCCCCAACCTGCTTCACCTCCTCAAGATCTATTTGTGTGACAGCATGTATGAGATACTGGGATTTGGATGCTGCAGCCACAGGAACCCGATATTGAATGAGGTGATCTCACAGACATCCCCTGGGCCGGGGTTAACTTGTTTCCCTGCCAGGCTGCCACTTCTCCTGGTGCTTGTAGGAACATAATCACCCTCCTATTTCCTACCCTGGCAAAGCCTCGTTGAAGTTGGTGAACAGGTTAGAAAGGGGCGAGATGGGACAGATCCAACGCCAGGTGACTTAAGAAAGGGAGGCTGGGAAAGCCAGACTGGAGTTCAAGTGAGTCACAGACCAGGTAGCAAGCAGAGTCTGCTCTGCCTTCTCCACTCCCCCCCATCAGGTGTTTCTACACATGGAATCAAAACATCGTGTTTTGCAGATAATATGGGCTAAAGAAACCCACCACAGCTGCCTTAAAGAACCTGTTTGCACAGCACAAGCTATTTAGAGGCCCGCTGTTTTCATAAGTGACACTTCTAGTTTGAATCCAACCCATGGCTTTATAGCCTTTGAAATATTCCAGAGTCTTCCTGTATTTTGTTTTAAGCTGTTGGACTAATGATGCCCTCTTCCCCAGGCTCAAATCAAAATGGAAGAAGGAAAGTTAAATAAAAAGAAATTTCAACTCTTGAGTTTAAACCAAATCAGGCTACTTGATTATAGCTAAACATATTTTAAAGCACACCCACTCTTTTTCAGCTGGGACTTTCGCATTTTGCACACATATCAATCTTCTCCCATCGAAACCTTCAGCACCCTTCACTGTGTGACTGCACAAGCTGTGGGGCAACACACAAACACACACACACACACACACCTGTCTCTTATACACATC